CTATATGTGTGTGTGTGTGTTTCTATACCATGGAATACTATGCATACATAAAAAGGAAGGAAATAGTATCATTATGTTATTATAGCAATGTGGATGGAACTGGAGTCCATTATTCTAAGTGAAGTATCTTAGGAATGGAAAACCAAACCCGCTATGTTCTCACTAATAAGTGGGAGCTAAGAGATGAGCCCACACAGGCACTAAGCAATATAAAAGAATGAGAAACCAAGAAGGATGGAGGACAGAGTGGTGGGTGTTAGATTAAAAATTTAACAGTTGGGTACAATGAATACTGTTCTGGTGATCAACACACCAAAAGCCCTGGCTTAAGCATTATACAAGATATCCTTGTAACAAAAACACTTGCACCTGGTTGACACCTATGGCTCAGTGAGTAGGGTGCCAGCCCCATATATTGAGGGTGGTGGGTTCAAACCCGTCCCTGGCCAAACTGCAACAAAAAATAGCCGGGCATTGTGGCAGGTGCCTGTAGTCCCAGCTACTGGGGAGGTTGAGGCAGGAGAATCACCTAAGCCCAAGAGCTGGAGGTTGCTATGAGCTGTGATGCCATGGCACTCTACTGAGGGTGACAGGGTCAGACTCTGTCTCTTAAAAACAACAACAACAACAACAACAAAACCACTTGTACCCCCTTTATTAATATTTTGAAATAAAAAATGAATCTTTTCATATATCAATCATATCTTAATATATCAGTTTTTAAAAATAAGTGAGCAATATATATTTCACAATAAACTACTCATTTAAGTATTCTGAAAATTTAAAAGTACCCATGAAATTTACATAAATAAATACAATTTCATGTTAAAGAACTTAGATTGGAATTTTAATCTAATATTAAAATTAGATTATTGGAATATTATTCAGAGACTTGTCACAAAGAGGAGTGTGAATCTTAGTTTGTGACACTGGAAAAGAATTAAGGAGTTTTAGGAATGGCATCATCCAATTTACTTTAAAAAAAGAAAAAGAAACACCTTAATATTCACTATGGAACATTATTCACAGGAAGAGGGAGAGACAGGAGGAAGCTGTTGCTAAAATTCATTTGAGAAATTTTGTAGCTTGGAAAAGAAAATCTAGATAAGCTATCGGATATCTATTTCTCCCATTATTCAAGATAAAGAGTCATCTTATCAGCTAACATGTCAGGATTAGTGCCCTCAGTAAGTGGTTCCCTGTCTAAGCTCACATAAGTGATGATAACATCCATTAATGGGATCAGATCAATTCCCCTCCAAGCAATTTGTATTGATCAAACAAGTTGATTCCTAAACCAAAACTTTCTTTCAGTCTTTCTAGAGTGATAAAAATGCCAATATTCTAACTATTGAAAAAATAACAATACTTTTGACAACTATTTAAACTGGCATTTGATTTGCATATCCACTTTTGAGGAAGATGGTTAGAATGACTCCATACTGAAAAATCATCAGTAAAGTAGCAAAGCATCTTAATAATGTGTGGAAAATAGTACATGTTTTAGATCAATGGGACTAACAACTGAGTTTGTGCAAAAAAGCTAACTAAACAAAGAGGCTCTTTTATCATTAGGTTGAAATTGACCTGCCTTTGTGTAGCTTACGCAACACGCATATGTTCTGAGTGAATGGAGTATATACGCCAGTAAAGGTAGCGCCACAGTAGTGACAGAACATTAGACATGAGCCAGAAGCCCCAAACCCCAGTTTGATGTCTTTGACTTACTGGATATAAGGGCTTGTAACCATCATTTAAACCACTCTGGGCTATAATTACTTTATCTTTGAAAAGCAGTAGAAAGCATGGTGGAGATTAATATCCCATTCAGCTTTGAAGTAGTCTGCCTTGTGAAGTGTGAAACATAATCCATTTGTGCAAGAAAGGAAATAACACTGCCCATTCTGCTGGTAGGCTATTGGTATTTTTTCTTTATTTCAAGAAATGCTTTACATATGAAGACCTCTTTGTGATATATAATGCAAACATTTTCTCATGGTTTTTCACGGCTCTTTGGATTTTGCTTATGGTATCTTTTTGTTAAATGAAATAATCATGTTTTGAATTAAAAAAGAGAGAAAGGAATAATAAAGGCCACAAGGGGAAAAGCTGAGATTTGGACATATAAAAATCCATTTTGTCTTCAGCCACACAATAGTCTCTTTTGCAGAAATGCTTTCA